CAATGGTTAAGAAAATTCAGATGTCAACCTTTATGGGAACACATTTCCGAGGTCCTAAAGTCCACAGCTGCTTTGCTATGACAGTGGTATATCAGAGTAGTTGGGACAGACCTCATATTGCTGGTGGAGCAAAAATGCTGTCTGGTCCCTCAAGAAAAGGCTTGCCCTGGCCATCTTTAACCTTTTTATGCCACTGTGACTATCTGACAAAACCCATGTACCCTTTCTGAGAATGTTTTTTTTTTTTTTTTTTTTTGGGTTTTTCGAGACAGGGTTTCTCTGTGTAGCTTTGTGCCTTTCCTGGAACTCGCTTTGGAGACCAGGCTGGCCTCGAACTCACAGAGATCCGCCTGGCTCTGCCTCCCGAGTGCTGGGATTAAAGGCGTGCGCCACCACCGCCCGGCTGAGAATGGTTTTTATGTACACACATCTAAACATAAGACTGCAATCAGTATGTTGACAGCAATAATCTAAGTAATAAGTATGGTATTCTCATATGTTAAGTAAGAGAACCCAGTAATGAATTTCAGTCACTGTAATAATTTTAGTGTAGTAATAAACATAACTGCTATTTTGAGATATGTGTAACAATTGTAATGAGATAAGAAAAGACCAGTCCAATGGGGACGAAAGTCCCAGGAACTGCTTGTGCCACTGGGGTTTGGGATCGTCATTGATTTATGAAGACAGTGCTGAGTTTCACTTGCCGAAAGGGAGAATATAGTTATCTTCCAGCCAAGTACAGAGACCCCTTGAATTCTAAGAGGCCCTTTGGAGCCCTGCAGACTGCAAGAGAAGCACGTGGCTCTGAGGGAAGAGATGCAATCCCATCGATCAGTTGGGGTCGACAGGACAGGAGTGAGAGAAAGCCCCATGCACTCAATGGGGCTTCCACCGTCAGTTTCAGAGGCTAGTTTTGTGCAAATTTTGCTCTCCCCCCCACCAAATGAACTGTGGTGTTAAGTCCAAACCATTAACTCATCACATTAAAAAAAATCTGTTTGACCTTCAGCTCTCTGGCTGCTCTTTATTTACATATTGGTCTAAAGTAATCAAATGACGAACAGATGGGTGGAATGGGGCAGTGATGAACTTGACTGGCAGTTTGGTCTAGGTGGGCCAGAGGAGAAGAGAGCATACTTTTTCATTTGCGGTTTACAAATGGCTCCCAAAGCTGCTACATCAGAATTCAATTTATATCAACTCCCGCCACCCCGACCTGGATTTCACTAGGAACCATCACAGAAGGGAAAATTGAAGTTTGAAGGGAATGTGTCTGTATTACCTGGAGTATGATTTCTGCAAAAACATTTAGCCCCTTCATCTAAGCCTGAGGCCTTAATGGCTAACAGAATTTCTAGGACCTTGTGCCAGTCTGCAAGGTGCTTCTGAGATTTTCAATCTTGAAAGTAAAGTAATAAAAGGAATTCTTGCTTTCACAAGGCTATCATTTGTTAACTTGGAGTCTCAGCTGACATCCGAGCCAGGCAGCCTTCTTATTGCTAATTATGGTCCTTTTGTCAAGGAGGGCTTATATGAGGGCACCCTAACTTCCTAAATACTTTCTCCAAAGGGCGGAGGGGCGTATTTTCACTGTTTTCCATTCTCTCTAAATTGATTGCATTAGCATAGTTCTTTAGGGCTGGGTATGTAGTTCAGAAACAGTGATTTACTCAGCTGGTAAGAAACAACAAAATAACAGAGAATAACAGAATTCTCAAATGTTTTCAATACTGACATTTGAGGGCTAGAGAAACCAACACAGGGCCACATTCCTCTTAAATATTGCAGTCTTTCCTCCGGTTATTGCTGTAAATTCTGGGCATGAGTAAAGTTCTGAGAAGAAATTTGGTGGTTCATCTATTTATGAAGACGGCTAAATCTCACGTTTGACTCCACCTGGGACGAAGCTTCGGTCAGAGCCTTCAGGTGAGTCGCAAATACTGAGACAATATGAAGCTTTACCATACACTGAACTGATAGCCTTATTTTATTTTTTTATTTAGTGTGTGCATGCGTGTATGTGTGTGTGTGTGTGCATGCATGTATGTGTGTATGTGTGCATGCATGTATGTGTGTATGCATGCATGCATGTGTGTGTGTGCACGCATGTATGTGTGTGTGTACATGCATGTATGTGTGTGTGTGTGCTCGCTTGCACACGTGCTCGTACACATGAGCATGCTCTCATGGTAGCCCACATGTGGAGTCACGATAACTTGCTGGAGTCAGTCCTCTCCTTCCATCACATGGGTTCTGGAATCAAGGTCGGCTGCAAGCTCCTGTGTCCCCTGAGCCGTCTCACAGGCTCCTTCTAACCATTGTGTGGTTAGAAAACAACAGCAGTAAATATCTTCCAATGGTGGCTGGACAGTGACAGAGGGTCAAAGGGGATGGCCGTGGGTAGGGTGAGCATACGCAGATCCAACCTGGGTCTTTCTGGTTCTTATGTCTGCAGTTGGTGAGGTAGGATGTTGGCTCTGATACTAGTGACGAAAGGTTCCTTTAGCCACATTTCTCTAGTGCTTTTTACATTAGCTCCTTCAAGTCAAATGGCTGGTAATGTAATCAGTTCTAAGTGGCTCAGGGTGAAAACCTAAAAAGTCCTCTGTGGACCTTGCTTCTAAGTGTTAAGAGACATCTTTTGTCTTTTCCTCCTCCGATCATCTGTATTTTCTGGCTAAAGAAAGTCAAACTCACAGGGTTACCCAGCTTGCTCCGGGTTACAGCTAGTGTTTCAACCCAATGGCTACCAGTGTTCAAATCTTCCCTGGAACCATACAACATGTAATATTTCTGGAAGAGTCAAGGTTCCAGAAAAGGTTCCATTACTTTTAGTGACACATTCTTATGGTCTCCTCTCCATGTCTCAGAGTCTCCACTCTCATTACGGCCTTGAAGTAAATTCCTTATACCCAAATCCTCGTCTCAAGCTATGCTTTGGGGGAACTGTCAACTCTGAGAGGTGTTGGAGGCTCAGGAGGGAAGAGCCATGTCTAGGGCCACATGGCGACAGGAGAGTTAAGGGACCCAATTTTCTCTCCTGGATCTTCTGGTTCTGAAGACAAATATTTTCATTTTCCACTTCCAATGTGCATGCAAGACTAGGAAACTGCTATCTTCACCTTTTATCAACATATCAGACACAGATTGAGTTGGAAAAATATATGTTTGAGTGCAAAACTAACAGTAAATGAGAGCTACCACCCTGCTGGGGATTACACAGATGATCTGCTAGGTGATGATAAAAAATTTGCATTTCTCAAAGTTTAAAGGAATGCATTTTGTTCTGTTGGTGTTGTCTAATTTACTTGTGGAATTAAATCATGTGTTAAATTCCCCCCTGGGCTATTTAGATGAGAAAACTGGAGTCTGAGAACTCCAACTGTTGCTCAGTTAGCTTGCATTAGAACCAGGATCAGAATCGTTTCTATTCTAGGCACACACCAGGCTTTGCCCACCAGGTATGTTGAGAGGCAGGATTATGTGCTACCCTCAGGGAGGAGCCTTGGTCTGATCTTTACCATAGTGTCTCTCCTCCTCCCTCCTCCCTTCTTCCTTCTCCCCTTTCATTACCTTTTTCCTTCTTCCCTCTCTTCCTTCCTTATTTACTCCCTCTTTTCCTTATTTCCTTCCCCTTCTTTCCTTCCAGGTTTTCCTATCATCCATTTGCCACTTCCCAAGAGCTGTTCTACAGTTCCCCTTTGAGGATTACCCTCTCTTGAACACTTAGCCTATACACCCCAGGTCTGAAACCCCTCACCTATGGATGCTTTCAGTCCTTACAATATGGCCGGTGCTTGATTAGTCCATAATTTCTCTCCACCCTGGCCACTGTGATGAGCTAGGAAAATGGAAAAGGATCTAGACTTGGCTAACCAGAATGCACATCAAAATTCTGCTGGGTCCAAGAAGAAATCCATACTCTCTTGCTAAGCTTGATGACCACAACACTTAAGGGTGTGGGAAAGCCTGCTGAGAAATGAATCAATGAAGCAGAGAGATGGAAGCACAGACTGCCTAGGTGGCAAGAATCTAGTGCTCACTGAATTCAGACTTGCCACTGGACTTGACAATCACAGAAGCCGATACGTTATTGCTTCAATCTTTTCAAGTTTCTGCCACTTAGAATTCAGCAAGCCCTGTCTGAAGACACAAATGTCTGTTTCCCACAGCCCAGGAATAAACTGGGAGGTCAGGACAAAAAAATCAACTCATCAGATCTTGACAGGACCCTTTGCCCCAGGTTCAGAAAGCCCGAGGAATAAGGTCTTTCCGAGTCTCTTTCTGAATCCACAACATCCAGGCCTCAGAGGAGCCTCCTCATCTTTAATGGAGGGCAGACTGATGCCATTCACCCAGCTTCTACCCAGAGTCAAATGGAGACCCAAATTCAGGCCGAAGACCTTGCATTGGGAATTCCTTTTGTTCACCTTTTCTTCTTTAAAGAAAGAAATAAATAAAGTTGTGCAGCAAGCAGCATTGGCAATCATGAGTTCTATATGAATGTCTGCATTCCATCAAACTGAATAACAAAAACTTAAGATGTAACTAGGAGAGAAGAAAGTTGAACTCAAACTCAGAAACTTGTCCCAAGGTAATTTGGATCTGGAAGGCACAGTACATGGTGTTTGTATGTAAAGATTTCTTCCCTCTCCCTCTGAGAAAAACCATCAAATATTTACTCAAATACAATACTTTAAAGTCAGAAGGGCAAGTTTCAAGCCTGAAATATGGGCCAGCTTGTTGGTAGCAGTGCATACAGAACCTCCAGAGCTCAGAACAGTGGCTACAAAAGAAATGAGGTAGAGGGGAGAGTGTCACCAATGACTACTCATCAAAGATATTCAGGGATATATGTTGACCCACTTGCGAACATGGCCCGCTAAGACTTTGTACCACCTTCAACACACATTGGCTGGAGTTAAGTGATGATCTTTGCCCTGCATAGCATCATATGGGGAGTAGCTGCAGTCTCTGTGGTTTGACCTGTGACTTACCTGATGAACTCCACAGAGTAGAACTGAATTGGGGCACTTCCTTCATTCTCTCCAGGTTTCCAAGAGAGGGCCACTTCAGAATCAGAAACCACAAGGACATGTGGCTGGTGGGGTGCTTCAGGGGGCAAGCAGGAATCTAGGCAGGATGACAAATACAGCTAGACTTGGCTGGTGGTCTCCACCGATGGAGAGGTTGGATACATCAAAAACAGGTGTACATTCTACTACTGGAACGTATTTATTCGGTATGGCCTCAAAACCCAAGCCAAATAATAAAAAAACACAGAAGCTTTAACTATATAACATACACTCACCGAATTCCTGTCTTCATGTCTCCTCCCAGAACCTCTGGCTGGCAAACCACTGTCCCTGAGACACATGATGTGTACCCGAGAATCTTCTGCCATCATCGTTGATCTGTCTCCATGTTGTAATTGGTACTTACCCCCAAGGAAACTGAATACCCATCATTACTGCTGCCACTTATTTTCCAACATTTCAACAAGTGTGTGTGTGTGTGTGTGTGTGTGTGTGTGTGTGTGTGTGTGTGCATGTGCTTTGTATATGTACTGACAACTAGTGGTAGGACATGTGGGGTATGCCCTCATATGTAAAAAGGATCCCATCACCTGGTATGTACTACTGTCTACATGTCCGGACTTACATACCTTCAAGTTTTATGCACACTATTGTTTAGGCCTGGAGGACTTTTCCACCACTTTAAGCCCTTCTTGTAATACAGTGTGGAGATAGATTAATGTCACTTCCCGACAGAGAGCAAGCACAGTGTGAACAGCATCCGCAGTGGACCCAGCATTGTATTCCAGTGCCCATCTCTGTACCACATGGATGAACATTTGCTGGGTCTTTCTCCTCTCTCTTCTTCCTGTCTTGATCCTACTCACCTGTTAGTCTCACTCTCTATTTTTTCAGTGAGTTCTTCCTGCATCCCTATGTGGTACATTCTTCCTGCATCCCTATGTGGTACATCCCTGCAGCTTGTGGGTATCACATTCAGCAATCTGTTACTATATGCTAATCAGCCAATGTCTTGCCTGATCCTGCTGAGGTCTGAGAGAGCAGAGGCATGCTTACTATGGTCACCACTGGTCTCTCAGAGCCCAAGACCGTATCTGGCATGTGCTGTTGGCTGAATGAATGCATAAGTAAATGGAAGCCCCTTCCCATTATTAATGGATTTGAGCCTATTTTTACCTTGAGACAAAGTGGTCACATGCCGAGGAAAGCTAAGTCTCCCTTTGCCAGTCTGGCTGTAAGCAGCTATGCTCACTCGGTATTCAGTGCCTGGCTTCAGATCTCCAATCACTTCCTCCTGTCAGTAATCAAACAAGAAAAGTACCCAAAATTAGAAGTTCTACTTGAACAATCTAGACCAGTGGTTCCCAATCTGTGGGTTCGCAACCCTCTCGGGGATCACATATCAGATACCCTGCATATCAGGCATTTACATTATGATTCACAACAGGATCCAAATTATGGTTATGAAGTATCAACAAAATAGTTTTATAGTTGGGGTCACCACTACATGAGGAACTGTATTAAAGGGTCGCAGCATAAGGAAGGTTGAGAACTATGGTTGATATATTGTGCACCCCAATAAACTTATCTGGGGGTCAGAGAACAGAACAGTCATAACATTAAACATAGGTTTAGGCAGTGTTAGCACACGCCTTTAATCCTAGCATTCCAGAGGCAGAGATCTGTCTGGATCTCGGTGAGTTCAAAGTCACACTGGAAACAGCCAGGCATGGTGACTCCCGGCTTTAATCTCAGGAAGTGACGGCAGGAAGCAGAAAAGTATATAAGGTGTGAGGCCCAGGAACTAACCTGGTTAAGTTTTTAGGCTTTTGAGCAGCAGTTCAGCTGAGACCCATTCAGATGAGAGCACAGAGGCTTCCAGTTTAAGGAAACAGGATCAGCTGACGAGGTGAGGTCAGCTGTGGCTTGTTCTGCTTCTCTAATCTTCCAGCATTCACCCTAATACCTGGCTGCTGTGGGATGTTCTGTATGGCAAATGTGTTGCTAATTAGTCAATAAATAAAACACTGATTGGCCATTGGCTAGGCAGGAAGTGTAGGCGGGACAAGGAGGAGAATAAAGCTGGGAAGTGGAAGGCTGAGTTGGAGAGACACTGCCAGCCGCCATGATGACAAACAGCATGTGAAGATGCCGGTAAGCCACGAGCCATGTGGCAAGGTATAGATTAATGGAAATGGATTAATTTAAGCTGTAAGAACAGTTAGCAAGAAGCCTGCCACGGCCATACAGTTTGTAACCAATATAAGTCCCTGTGTTTACTTGGTCGGGTCTGAGTGGCTGTGGGACTGGCAGGTGAGAGAGATTTGTCCTGACTGTGGGCCAGGCAGGAAGACTCTAGCTACACCTGGCTTCAGGTTTGATTTTATTAATAAGACCTTCTAAGATTCATGCTACAAAGAACCACTGATCTAGACAGTTTCTGTAAGGTTTATATCTTGAGATCTCTGGGAACTTGCTTGAGACAGAGGCTATTTGCTCTGTTAGATTTCGGCCCAGTTACAAAATTTGCAAAACATCACAACATATTTCTCAAATCTGGAGGGTTAATCTTCATTACAGTCTACACTTCGCCCCAGAGCTGGAGCTTGTTCACTCCTCAAATGCTGCTCGAAGGTTGCTGCAACTCATGAAGGAATCTTTCAGGGATACCTCTGTGTCTTTCTTTCCATCTGCAAGCTGCAATGTTGAGGGGCCAGCCCCACGGCAAACTTGAGTTTTGATCTGTACCCAAAGAATAAGGGATAGAAATCTGGCACTCAAATTTTAAAGTGATGGACTCATCGAGAAAGCTCTCCTAAGGTAAATTATGGGCTTGATTCCCAGAGTGTCTGATTCAGGGGTCTGCATGAGGAATGGCCTAAGAATTTGTTGCATTTCTGACAAGTTCCCAGATGATGCTGATGGTGTTGCTGATGCTGGCTGCTTTCTGCTCCCTAAGACCTGCTAGAACTAATGATAGCTGCATGTGTGAACTCCCTGGCAGAACCACACTAAGTGGAAATCCCTAGCTGAAGAAGATTTGCTCCTTCAGCTTCAGGAAAAGAGGCTGGTCCCCAACAGCAGGGCTAAGTGGGAGGTGCAGCTGTCTTTATCAGAGAGAAACCATAATATAGTGCAGTGCAAAGTGTTCCAGCTTGGAGCCAACCTGTTCTGGTGTTGAATCCTGATTCTTCCACCCTTTCCTATCTGTGCCAGTCACACCAAACCTCCTGAGTCTCGGCTTTTTTTTTTCAGTAGTGGACATGTAGCGACCAGACCATAGCATTAAGGATATTTTGTATACCATGCTGTAGTTGGTATGGAGGTCATGCTCAAGAAGTAGGTTGTGATACCCACTGTCCAGGGTCTGTGATGACTCTCCTCTGCTTGCTTAGGTTCATCATCCACTTCAGGATTCCAACTCTTCCCTTCACATCTTTCTGGACCTGGTGATCACACCCACTGAATATTTTGCCACTAATTTGGCCCTTATATACACATAGTTTGAACATTTCTAACCCAAAATAACAAAATCCAAAGTTTTTCCAACACCAATATGGTATCAGAAGTCAAAAATTATACATGTGACAAGTCAGACAAGAGCACTGGTGAACTAAGAAAACTGCATGAAATTATTTTCAAAACATGTGATAAAGTATACATGAGACGTAAGTGATTAGTGTTTGTAGTTGGGTGCTATATGAATCTTACCTCCTCTCTCTCTGTCTCTGTCTCTGTGTCTCTGTCTCTCTCTCTCTGTCACACACACACACACACACACACACACACACACACACACACACACACACAAGATTCCGAAAATAGTTTAAGGGTGAAACTCTGATGAAGCATTTGAACAAGGAACAATCAACTTGCACCGCAAACTGTTCCCATTTCTCAAGCAAGGTTGAAAACCATTGAGCTATTTGAGAACTGGGATCACATCTTATTTTTATTCACAACATCGTTAGATACTTAAACGTTCGAAAGTTAGGAGGTTAAAAACTGCTTCAAAGCATTCAACTCTCAGTTATGAACACTTAAAACACCAATTGTTAATCCCTGACTACACACACCTAACTAAATCTCAATTAATTCTCTTTCTACGAGAAAAAAATTAACTAACATCACTCCCTGTCCTCCTCTCAATTTCCAAGCCAGAAATTCTTCATGCTTACATATCCATTCTCCTCCATGCCCACTCCCCAATCAGTTATCAGTTATCAGTGCGGTTGATGACACTGTCTTCACACCACTGGAATCTGGCTACGTTTTCTTATCCCAATAGTCATTTAAGTCTAAGCCCATATAATGAAGACAATGGGCTGATTCTGATTACCAAACATACTGACTGTACTCCAGTTTGGACCCCACCCACGCTGCTAGGCTAAAGTTACCCTCCGAAGGCTCAAATCAGTTCCTATCACTTTACCCTTTAAAAACTCCCTTAAAACAGCCTATGTGTGTCCCCCTGGTTCATCCTTCTAACATCATCCATACCATTGCCCCTTCTTTCATTCTCCATTCCAGTCACACCTAAGAACTTGGCAAGGATCACACTTATGCCATTCAATTCCTTGCCTCTGGGCCTTTGAACCTGCTGTTCCTCCCCATAAAATGTCCTTCTCCCTACTCTTGCCTGGCTCACCCTGCCCATCCTTCATGACTCAACTGAGACATTACCTCATTTCTCTCCCCCGTCCCCCAGTCTGGTTAGATGCCCCTCCTCTATGTTTCCCTGGTGTCCTTGGTGGGCCTCCATCTTAACACTGCTCACCTTGTATTGTGATTGCCTGTTATCTGTCACCTTCTCCCCACCCGGGTGAGGACGGGATGCAACTTTCTATTTCCCTGGTACCACAGAGCTGAGCATAGCATTGCCAGACATGCTTCCAGGGCTCATGTGGGGCTTTTGATGAATGAATGAGTGAACTGTAGTGAAATGAAAGAAAGAAATCAAGAGCCAAGATGTCCCAGAGAAGCAGATTACCTCATCAAGAAAAGAGCTTCAACTACTGACCCCTCCATCATGATCAATAGTGCCTTCTATGGCTTGAATGCATCCCCCTCAAGTTCACGTTCATCATCTAATAAAGACTCAGATCCTCAGTACATCAGTGCTAGAGACTGAGCAAAGTCCTAGGTGATTAGATCATGAGGACAGAGCCCCCAAGAAGGGAGTCATTCCATTGCTTAGTGTGGGAGTAGGCTAGTTATTGAAGGAACTGGCTCTTGAGAGTGAAAACAGGAGGCTTAGAAATCCAAGGTTATCCCCGACTACAGAGGTAGTTTGTTTGAGGCCAATCTGGGCTACAGCTACCCTGTCTCAAAAATAGACAGACAGATAGATAGATAGATAGATAGATAGATAGATAGATAGACAGACAGACAGATAGATGTTGAAAAGTATAAATAGAAGTGAGCTGACCCCTCTCACTCTCCCGTGTTCTGGGCTCCTTCACCTTCCACAATGGGATGCAGCAGCAGAAGGCCCTCACCAGATACTGAACAGTGTGGCTGTGATGCTCTTGGACATCCAGCACTCAGAAACATGAGCCAAATAAATTCTCCTCTTTATAAATTACCCATGATGCTCTGTTGTAGCAGCACAAAACAAGCAAAGACGGCACCCCGGCTCCAGGCTCTGCAGTCCTGAGTGTCCTCTGCCTACCACCATGCAAGTCCTCAGACCCACCCCCTTCCTCCATTTCTATCTCAGAGTCCTTGGTCTCGACAGGCCACTGCTACAGCAGTCCAGAATGTGTCTGTTTCTAGTCTTCCCCTTTGTGTGCTCTCTCCACTCCCCCTCTCCCTCCTACACACACCTTCACAAAGAATTTCTGCTGAACTTGAGGCCTGTGTCCATAGTGCCCCTCCTGCTCCGCTTCCTAGAATCCCAACTCTACTTTCTACGCCTGGGTTTAGGTCAAGTTGAAAGGTACAGAGTCTAGAGGGAACATGTGGGTCCAAGACCTCAGTCCCGCTCTTCTCTAGGCTGACACCCCAGGCTTGTCCCAGTGAGCAGAAATACTTTCAAACCAAATGAATGCTCTACAGGCTTTTGCTGTAGGATCCTTTTCTCTAGAAGTCATCATAATATATGAAAATGGAGGGAAGTCATGTGATTTCATAGACTAGTGTTGGTTTTGTCAGGTGTTGATACCAAATTTAACTATCATTCATTGCCACTTGTGGATGTTTTATTTGGCCTATGTGTTTACCTTTGAGCATATACCCTTATTTAATTCAATTTTATCAGGACATATACTTAGTAGGTGACAAATTAAGGATCCA